GAAGAATGGATAACTAAAATGTAATTCTGGAGTGAAACATAGCAGTGACTGTTTTCTGATGCGATTAAAAATGGGCCACTGGGCTCAGGTGGGCTGGCCTCCCTCAATCTGATTAACAGCCTTAGCAGGAACAAGCAGGGCACCTGTGAGGAAATCAATGCTCTTTCCAGAGTGATAGCCCTTTCTTTCAGGTGTACTGTGGTTAGAGCCTTAACTCATCTAGAAGGCCAAAGGCATTATGGCAGAGGTGGGGCAGGCCTGCCATTGCCTGAGAGAGGACATGGCTTCTACTAATATTGCCATCACTTCAGAAGCACACTCAGGGCAAAGATGTTGTTTTTCCCAGGGAACAAGTACTAGACTGGGAATTATAATCTGTTCTGCTATAAACCACAAATAGTTAACAGACTGTTCAGCTTGCTAATGAAAGCCAGACTGAATGACCCCAGGTAATAATTAACAACCCAGAACTCTATGGCAGTCTAATCTACTCTTTTTGTTACAACCTGTCACTTTGAGCATCTGATACAAAGACATGCCCTGAATCCAACTAGTTTAAACCATAGGCAGAATTTTTTTTTTTTTAAGTCTTTGCATTCCTTAGGACTCACTTTGTGCACTTGGAGCAGTGGGGAGGCATGGGAGGGTTCAGGTGCACATGGAAAGCCTGCTCTTAACCTTTCAAATAAAGACAAAGTCTGGATTAAAAAACAAAGTAAAGGAAAAATTAAAACTTTAGATATGGGAATAAGGACAATTGGCATCTTTTTCTCTGCCTTTTATGGGTTTTAGCATCTTACAGAGCTGGAAAAGGCAGGTCCCAACAACCCAAATAAAATTTTTGGAAACTACCTTTAAAATAAAAATTTAGTTGGATTGTTTTAAAAGATGAAGCCACTAAACTTCATTTTAATTTGCTTTCCTCTGTAAATTTTAGCATCCACCACATAGTTAATAATTAGCTGCTTGTTCAATTTTCTAAGGGTGTTTTTCAGTAAATATGGTGAGTCATTCATGAATAAAAGCAAAGATAGAATCCAGAGCACATGAAGCTAGAGCTGATGGCTATATTCATGTCTTAAGTGTTTAGCTAGCTACATTTATGTTAATCCTTACGAATCCACTTTTTAAAGTTTCCCTAAAAAAGCTTCCTACAGCTTTCTAGCCCTACCTGAGACATCAGTCTCTGTGACTTATTTTTAAAGAGCCAACTTAGCAACCAGGTACTCAAATCCATAAACAAAGAGTAAACAGTGAACTGAAGAAACTTGCCCCATTTATATGGTTTCTGTGGTGTTCTTGCTGAACGTTAAGATTATAACTTTGGGGCAGGGAAAGTTGGTGGAATTCACTGTCATAGAAGAAGTGAAAATGGGCTGGAGAAATGGCTCAGCTTATTGTGCCTTATGAGGACCAGGATCTACACATCAATTCAACTCCAGCCCACCCCTGTAACCTCAGCTCTGCCCAGGGCCAAGACAAGGGGATTACTAGGGCCTGATAATTTCCTACCTAGCAAGAAAATGTCAGCTCTGAGTTCAGAGAGAAAAGGAGAGAGAGAGAGAGAGAGAGAGAGAGAGAGAGAGAGAGAGAGAGAGAGAGAGAGAGAGAGAGAGATTGAGAGAGACCTTGCTTCAAATAAACAGGTGGAGAGTGACAGGACACAAGCACCCTCTTCTAATTTCTACAAAGTAGAGTCCATATGAGCACATAAGTTCCAGCACTAGCACACATAAATGCACATTCACTCACACAGATGCACCAATCAATCAATCAATCAATCGGTCTTTAAAAAAAAAAAAAAAAAGAAAAGAAAGTTATTCCAGACTGGATCTTGCCATCTTTGTGGGAAGTGAAATGCAATTGGTGTGCAGACTTGCAAAAGCCTGAAAAGCTTGGATGATATCTAAATGTCCACTTTAGTGACTGTCTTAAAGCATTCTTGTACAGACTTGGGTACTCTCAATTGAGATACCTCTTTTGCAATGCTCTGTAGATAGACAGCCATTTATAAGGAAGTGTTAATAAAAGTTAGACAGGCTGGGCAGCAGTGGTGCACGCCTTTAATCCCAGTACTTCGGGAGGCAGAGCCAGGAGTATCTCAGTGAGTTCCAGGCCAGCCTGGTCTACAGAGCAAGATCCAGGACAGGCACCAAAACTACACAGAGAAACCCTGTCTTAAAAAACCAAAAAAAAAGTAATAAATAAATAAATAAAATTAATTAATTCATTAAATAAAGGTTTGACAGCTTCAGACAGTATAAACTCTGCTCCATTGCAGTAAAAGAAAGCTGCTTAAATCCTAAGTTAAGACCAAATTTGTTCCTCACTCATGCTATACATCCAAAAATACTAAGCAGTTGAGGGAAGAATCTGACTTCAGGTACAGCTGAATCAAGACACCTTAAGGTGATCCTTAAGATATACCTTTTAGGGGTTGGAGAGATGGCTCAACAGTTAAGAGTACTGGCTGCTCTTCCTAGAAGACCCAGGTTCAATTCACAACACCCACATGGCAGCTCACAACTGTCTGTAACCCCAGTTCCAAAAGATCCAACACTCTCACCGACATACATATGGGCCAAACACCAATGCACATCAAAATAAATAAATAAATAAATAAACAAACTTTTTTTTATTATAAAAAAAAAGATACATCCTCTGCTTTCTTCAGTGTTAACTCCAAGCTCAAGCAGCCCCCATCTTTGCAGAATGACAGCTACAAAACTCTAAGTTACAGGACTAAGAGAGAGTTTCTTCCTAGGAATTCACACACATACACAATTTCAGAGTCACTGTAACTGGAAAATGTGAGTTTCACAGCCATCTCTGAACCAATCTCTGGAAGAATGAAGGTCATAATGGCTGAACACCATTGGAACATTTGGGCTGAAATGAAGAGGACTAGTACCTCAAGGTTATCCAAGGGAAATTGCCAGAGGAAGAGAGACTTGATATAAAACACAAGCACAAAAACAACTTCTATTATAAAGTTTGAGACACTGCATGCCATGACCCGTCTATACTTTCTATATGATGGAGGATGACAGTAATGTGCCTGTGTGATCTCTAAGCAGTGAAAGAAAGAGTATTCAGTGTATTTATTCATCCAACAAACGCTATTCAATATCTATTGCATACTAGAAACACTTCCCTGATAGGAATACAACATTAAACAAAATACAGACTTTGCCTTCAAAGAGTTCCCAGGGACAAGGCCATTTTGTAAAACATGGTGGAGTAGTGATCTGCATGGAATAAAAGGGACATAGTAGTTACTTTTCCTTTGCTGTGATAAAACACCATGACCAAGGCAACTTATAGAAGAAAGAGTTTATTTGGGCTTATAGTTCCAGTGGTAAGAGTTTGTCATGATGAGGAAGTATGCAACAACACAGGCATGGTGTTAGGAGCAGGAAGCTAAAAGATCACATCTTCAAATCCAATCAGGAAGCAGAGAAAGGGAACTAGAAATGGGATGAGGTTATGAAATCTCAAAGCTCATCTCTAGTGACATATTTCCTTCAGCAAGGCCATACTTCCTAAACTTCCCCAAACAGTGCTATCAACTGGGGACCAAGTATTCAAATACTTAAGCCTATGGAAGACATTCTCTTTTAAAATACCTCAAACCATATGCACAAAGAAGGGGTATGCACAAAGGTACCTGTGACATCTGACTGTTGCCTCCCAAACCTGTAACATGTTCAGAAACCAAGGAAGTTGTAAGAACTACAATACACAAGAATTGGTTTGTAAGTGAAATTCTGTATTCCTGAAATTAACTAAGTCAGGTGGTGTTGGTTATTTTTCTCCTTAGCCAAATAAAGTGTGATTATTCATATTTTTTCTAAAAATAGACATGCAAGACCTAAGAACTTGTGTATGTGTGTGTGTGTGTGTGTGTGTGTGTGTGTGTGTGAGAGAGAGAGATATCAATTCTGAATCTCTAGAAACACACTTCAATTTAATTTCCAAAGCAGTAAAAATCCAATACTTTTTTTGAGAACAAGCTTATATAAATAGTTAGGTTTTCCGATCTGAAGATCAAAGTCTTGAATGCAAAGTCCTTGATGCTTCACTGTTAATCAGAATGTAAGATGAGACACATACTTGGCATTTAAATACTGTGAAATGAAGACGACCTTGAAAATGATTCTTGGTGGAAGATTTTCAAGGGGAAATAATAAATGCCTCCAGGAAATAACTGTCCCACATTCTTTGAGACAAATAGCCAATAATTTGCAATTCCATCTGCCATTCCCAATCAGAGAGCTCTCCAGGGATGGAGGCAGGTGAGTATGAGTGAACATGAGTGAAGCCCTGAGCAGGCTTACTAACAAGACATCCATTCCTGAACTTACAACATCTTCAGAAATCAAGGAAGTTGCATAAAATATAATACACTGCAAGAATTTTTTTTTATTATTTAAACTGTTTGGCCTAATGGCTCAGGCTTCTTGCTATCCAGTTCTTATATCTTAAATTAACCCTTTTCTATAAATCTATACCTTGCCACACGACTCAGGGCTTGCCGGTAACTTTACATCTTACTCCTCATGGTGGCGGCAGCTGGCAGCTTCTCCTGACTCAGCCTTCCACTTCCCAGCATTCTCCTTTCTGCTTATCCCACCTATACCATACTTCCTGCCTGGCTACTGGCCAATCAGCATTTTATTTATCAACCAATCAGAGCAACACATTCACAGCATACAGATATTCACAGCACTTCCCCTTTTCGTTTTTTTTCAAAAAGGATTTTAACTTTAACATAGTAAAATTACATATAACAATTATCAAGCAAGAATTATAGTTACAATATCTAGTCTATTTATAATATCTAGTCTATTTGTATTTGGCAAAATTAAGGAAGATATCCTATCTATCCTATATTTGTGAGTCTAAGGTTTCATATCTAACTTATCTTTTATCATAACTAAGGAAATTATAACTGTCTAGTCTTCAACTACATCAAAGACCTTAGAAGGATATAATATTACCTGACAAATGGGAAAAGGACACAAGCAACTTTTGGGAGTCTTGCAAGAGTAGACAGAGACAGCTGGCAGCCTGGACAGTCATCCAAAGTTCCTCTGTAAAGTTGGGGCATCTGTCTTCAACCCACAGGCCTAGAGACTCTCAGTCACTTCTCTCTGTGTCCTGTAAAATGTCTGGCAGTTTCCTCTGTGAAGCAGGAACCTGAAGGAGCATTTTGCCAAGCAAAGTTCAGTGGTTATCTTCCTATGGGTCCTGCATATCCAGTCAATACATTTTTTAAGCAGTCCAGGCAAGAACAGTTTCTTTCCCAAATGGTTATTTTTTTCCAAGAAGAAGATAAACTCCATACAGAGTGTCTTTGATGCTCATCTTTTGCTTTGAAGTAAATCGGTGCTGCCAGGAGCAGATGTGTCTCACTGTTCAGAAAGTCTAAGTTTTTAAAACATTTTAAATGCCATATTCTGTAGGTCTTTAAAGTGTGTGAAGATTATCTACCTAATTAAATTATATCTATGTATACCTAGAAAACTTAACATGACTATAAGTTTAACTATCAGAAAAGACTAATTATTAATCTGTATTTTTTTATCTTGTAATTTGATTTAATTTTACATATCAGCCACAGATTCCCCTGTCCTCCCTCCTCCCACCCTTCCCCCCACCCCCCTGCCCTCCCTTCAGGCTCCCCCTTCCCCATTCCCATCTCCTCCAGGGCAAGGACTCCCCTGGGGATTCAGCTCAACCTGGTAGATTCAGTCCAGGCAGGTCCAGTCCCCTCCTCCCAGGCTGAGCAAAGTGTCCCTGCATAGGCCCCAGGTTCCAAACAGCCAGCTCATGCACTAAGGACAGTTCCCGGTCCCACTGCCTGGGTTCCTCCCAAACAGTTCAAGCAATCCGACTGTCTCACTTATCCAGAGGGCCTGATCCATTTGGGGGCTCCTCAGCTATTGGTTCATAGTTCATGTGTTTCCACTAGTTTGGCTATTTGTCCCTGTGCTTTTTCCAATCTTGGTCTCAACATCTCTCGCTCATACAATCCCTCCTCTTTCTCGCCGATTGGACTCCTGGAGCTCCATCTGGGGCCTGGCCGTGGATCTCTGCATCTGCTTCCATCAGTCATTGGATGAGATTTCTAGCACAACAGTTAGGGTGTTTGGCCATCCTATCACCAGAGTAGGGCAGTTCGGGCTTTCTCTCGACCATTGCCGGTAGTCTATTGTGGAGGTATCTTTGTGGGTTTCTGGGAACCTCTCTAGCACTTTGCTTCTTCCTATTCCCATGGGGTCTTCATTTATCATAGTCTCTTTTTACCTTGTTTTCCCTTTCTGTTCTTGATCCATGCTGCAAGAATTTGTTCATGTGTAAAATTTGGAAGTATTCCTAACACAAATTCAAGTGGGCAGTGATATTTTCTGACCAGAAACAAATTCACAGTAGGTAACTAAGAGGTGGACATACATGAATTAAGGCTGTTTTAAAAACAGACTAGTCTTCAGTTTAATAAAAACTGTTTACTGAGCATCTATAATGGGCCTGGTGGTATGCTAGCCAGTATGTGTGTGTTGGGGGGGGGGGGGGTGTTTTACTTGTCCTTACCTTATTGTCTCCGGGGAGAGAGATAAGCACGTAAGCACATAGTTATAGCACTGTGTCACATATGCAGCATCAGGCATAGTGCTGGAAGAGGAAAGGGTGTATAAAAAGCTATGTGGAAGTGCAACTAAGTCATTATAGAGGGCCCATGAGCAGAGAGTCATAAAGAAGTACTCTGTAGCTTTTGAAGAAGAGATAATATGATCAAGCCTGTATCTCTGAAGACTCCTGTGAGTGCTAAGGAGGAGCTGACTGGAGAGGAGAAGATCTGGAAATAAGAACAATACCAACGGGGACATGGCAGCTAGCTAGTTGCTAGGAAATCATAGCAGGACCTCACAACTGGATCAAGGGAGAGGGCAAAGGAGATGTATCCATGATTTACAAGCTAGCTGGTTTCATTGACATGTGATTTATACAGTTACATTCAGGAAAGCCCTGTGCTCTGAGGTCACTGTTGTAACGATAAAGGAGTTCCAAATTTGTGCCCTACTAGTCATGCCAGCGCTATGCCTAGGTTTCTGTCTGGAGGTAAGGGGTGAACCATAGCACAAATAATCCAAATGAGAAATAACTTATCTTGTTCTCTAAGGGTGGGTGGAGAGATGAGCTCAGTTTTGCACGAATTTTATGTATCTATTCATCAGCAAAGCAGAGCTAATTGGTGGCCTGTGAGAAACCAGGTGCAAATTCTGAGCCAGATACTGGGGACAAATGTGGATTCAACAAGGCCAGTTGGTGGAGTCCCTGGATGTGAAGGAACATGTATGGGAGAAAGAAATGATGAAGATATAACCTTTAGGAACACTGGTGTTTAAGGGACCAGAGATGGTCAAGAGAAACGGAAAAGTGTCCAGTCCAAGAAGAAACATTCAGAAGTGTGTCCTGGAAGCCAGGACTAAAGGAGTCTTAAAGTATATGCCCCTAAAGAGGACCACAGGTTGTGTGTGTGTGTGTGTGTGTGTGTGTGTGTGTGTGTGTGTAGGACAGTGGAGATGAAGGCAGGCAGGACTCTAGTGAGGAAACAGATAACCCAAGGACAAGAGCCTGGGCTGCAGAGAGGAAGGTCTGGAGGATAGGGGTGTCTGAAGTAAAGTCAGGGCTCCTTTCACTTCCAATAAAGATGGAAGGAATCCAGCAGGTTCTTATGTGGGCACATTGCTCTTAGGAGATAAGAGGAGGGAAGTACAAGGTGACCTCCAGACTCAATGAGACACTGTCTCAATAAATAAGGAGAACAACTCAGAAAGACACCGGACCTCAACTGCTGTCCTCCAGGCGTGTACAAGCACCACATGCAAACACAAATAACCCCCTTTCTTTTTTTGCATAGTATTAAATTGACTCCGGTGAGTGAGGTGGTCAGGACAGCAGCCTGTCTCTTGAAGAGTGCTGAAGACAACTAATCCTTTGCAAAGAGAGAGGACACTGACCAGGAGCAGGTGGCAGGAGGATTGTCTGCTAGTGCAGCAAAGGACAGTCTCAGAGAAGAGGAACTGAATGGAATGGCATTTGCAACTGGGGTATATGAAAAGCTAATATAAAACTTTGGTCCAGGGCCCTGAAAAGCTGAGCAAGGAGAAAAGAGGTTTGCATTTGACTACTTTTCTCTTGATGTCTATAGACCTCCATTGTAGTAGTAGACCCTTTCAATAGTAGGGTACTCTCTCAGTGCCCTGTAGGCTGTGCAGCCAGTCCTAGAGAATCCCAAGCATCTGAGAGGTTGGGGAAACTGCAGCAGGTAAGTGCTATTTGGTGAATAATTAATAAACATTTCTAAACTCGGAAAACAGTTTATTCTATGGTCTAATGGCTATAAACTTCCCTAGGCCTAACTAATTGAAGCTAAGTTAAAAACTGACCAATCAGCCACTCAACTCCTTCTTGAGATAGCTGGAAAACAATCAAACTAGCCTAACAACTGACTTACACTCCCCTCATTCCAGGAACATTTATCCGGGCAGGACTAAGGAAAGCTTTAAGGCAACTGAATTGGGATCTTAGGAAGATTTGGGGTCTGTATGTTACCCCCACTTAACCACACAGTGCTATGAGAGGCTTCTTTAGAGCCCTCATCTGACCTCGACACTTGCAAACGGTGGAGTTACTAGCAGTTTTGTAGTAACAAGAAGGGCGTCTCATCAAAAACCTCCAGCTTTCTGACTGTCAACCTTTCTACCCTGAGGTGGGAAAAGGAAATCAAGAACTTACCTGGGTTTGGGTAAGATGTGGGCTATTAACTTTGTGTATGTTTGGACAGACTGATAATTCACAGCCATGAGGCCCTGGGTGGCAGAGACTATTAGGTATGTCCAGAATAAATTCATGAGAAAAAATGTGCAGCTAATGGTATCCTTCCTATGAAATATGAGACCACTCATGTAGCACCCACGCAAAGCTCTCTTTCATCCTGAGATGTCGGGAAACGATGCTAAAGTTCCTAAGAACCAGACAGGTTGACCCTCTTTCTAATAGCTTAACCCAACCCACCTTCCCCTAGAGCTAGGTGCCAGAGTTCTTAGCCTTGGGCACACTTCGTGACTCACTTCTTACAAATGTAAATGTGTGAGTCGGCGGTAGGTCTACTGGCCTCCTTTGCCCGCAGACCTGCTCATCTACCTCTAGGACCAGCCCGAACGTATCCCTCCCCAACGCGCTCCGCTCGGGAAGCGCGCCCAGGAGTGAACCCGCCGGTCCACGCTGGGAACTGGAAGCACCAAAGCCCTACTGCGACCGCAGACACTGCCTTAAACAAAAAAGGCGTCTAGGGAGGTGGGACCCGTACCTCAGCCCCCACCCCCTTACCCACCCCTCACCCCCCCACCCCCGCCAACTTGCTGCCTCCCGCCCCCTCCATCCCCCTACCCTATCCTCCACCCCCGCTCTCTGTGTGCGCATGAGCAGAGGCGCCTCCCTCGGTTCCTCCCAAGGCGAAAGTTTGTAATTCCCTTCTTTGGGCCGGTGGGCTGCCAGGAGCCGCTAGAGCGCTCGCCCAACCGGGTGAGGAGAACAAAATAGCTGAACGATTTGACCCCTTCCTCGGCCCAGCACTCCGCTTCTGTGGGAGCTGCAGGAAATGGAAGGGCCCTCTCCTCTCTCTTAACATTTGCCTTTTCCCCCTCTACCTCTCCAGAAAGGAAGACAGGAAGAAAAGGCAGGCAGCTTGTGTACGGCGTCCCCCTTCCCCTGCCGCGTCCCTTCGGCTGCAGAGACCGGACATGGGGCTGCTCCAGGTGTTCACCTTCGGTGTCCTAGGTAACTCAGACGAAGGGCTCGGCGGGGGGGGGGGGGGGGGGGGGGGGGTTGTGCTCGGGCATTAGGAAAGAAAACCCCCAAACTGGTTCGCTCCTGCTTTGAAGAGAGCCCTGCGGGGATCAGGAGAGAGGGACGACTTGGAAATAACGCATCTGGGATCGATCGCCACAGCTCTGGTCTCGGTGGTGGTCGAAGACTCGCACGCGTTCTGGACGTCCGAGGCGATCGCTCCGGGGCTTTGCACCCTCTACCAGTTCGGGCTGTTTCCCCACCGCCAAAGGCAGGCTCCCTGGCGTGGCTGGGCAAGCTGCAGAGGATCCTCGAAAAACCCATTACGTACGAAAGTGTCAGAGCCCAGAGCAGGCTTCGTCTGGGGAACAGTTTGGGGCCATGTGGCTTTAATTAACTATCGATGTTTGTCTCCGGGTGGTACCAGGAAGAGCTGGGCCGGGGTGCTTTGCTGGAATGGCGAAGTGTTGAAGCCACTGCTGAACTGCAGAGACACACCAGCCGCCTCTAGCTCAGGGAATCGGCTTTTACAGCAAACGCAATGCCTCACCCCGACGCGGTTGCGGGTGACCCTGGCGCGTGCACGAGTACATATTCTTGTGTCCCGACGCCCACAGATTTCCCACTCTCACACCGAGAATTCGGGCACTGTCATGTGCACACGGGTGCGGGTGTGCAGCGCGTGGCGGGATCAACCTCACTGCGCCCTGGCCCAGGCACGTCCAAGTGGCCGGGTCACGATGT